CAGGCAGAAAGAAACAGACTGGAAAGTAAACCTCAAACAAACTGTAAAAAATAAAATTATAATAATAATAATCCCTGATTCAAAAGGAAGAGTGTTTTCTGCTGCTTTTCCTACTAATAAAAATTTTTAAGAGTCTCAAATCAAAATCCAGTCTTGTAATAAATATACTTTTTCTGTTTAACCTAAAAAACATATTTTCCCAATAAATTTGTACATTTCAGCATTTGAATCCGAAGTTCGGTCTGCAGATAATAATGGTTTTTATTGTAAACACATGGGAACACGTGTACAGAGACAGAACTGCTGCAGAGAGTTTGAGATGCTTTTATCACAGAACCAACATCCTGTCTGTTTTCAGACTTCTGCTTATGAAACAGTTATGCAACGTCTAAAATAAGCTCAGTGCTGAAACACTTTGGATTATTCTGGTTTGTGTCTGCATCAGTAAATCCTGATTTATCCTTTTAGAATAAACTACATGCATGTAAACGTCATTCTGACAATCGGATTATGGAGTTAGGTTTGTGCTTTTGTTGAGTTTTGTCAAAATTAATATATTTAAAAGGTAAACATGATAGGATTCACTAACTAACTAATCTGCAAGATGTTTTTTTTTTGTCTTAAATATGAGCAGCAGCAGAACAGAAACACGCCCACATTCAGCTTTAGTTCACAAACACCTGTTTTGTATTCACCTTTTTAACAGAACTGCATCACTCATGTGTCGAATGTAAGAGAAGTTCCACACCAGATGTTTCAGAATCAAACTTCTGAGTTTGTTTTAACWTTATGATGTGTTGGAGAGTTCTCAGCCCCTCGTGGAGCTGATTTCTGTAAAAAGATCTGTATAAAACAGAACATGTTGCTCCTGCTGCCTTATTTAAAACACCACAGACACATGTTGTGGAAAAATAAAAGTTGTTGTTTTTTTAAATCTGGAACTAAACGTGTCTGAATATTTTCTACAATATCTGACCAGAACAGCTCCGGTCCTTCCTGTTTGGAAAATTGAGATTCAGTGGAAGTCACTGGTTCTGGTGTGCTCGTTTTGTCCTGCAGTAGCAAAACTAACTGCGTTTTTAAATTTAGGAAGTTCAAAATTTAAAGTGCCTGTGACGTGCCTATCCATCAAATACAAAAAAGTCAAAG